TATAATAAAGTTTACAAGTATGCAACAAGATTTGTTGAAATATTGCATTTACTTTTGGATGTGCAGTATGATGCATTCCAGGCAACACCAGAAACAATAATGAGTTGACGTTTAAAAGCCCGTTTTGTCTCCAAGCAAAACAAATTATCGTATTGATACGCGGCAGTCACTAATTAGTTCTTTCAACAATTATGACACCAATTTTGCTGATTACAATAGTGCCAGCAATAATTTGATACCAAAATATGTTGCTGTTCCTACTTGTCACTCTCGACAGTGAACAGCTAAATGCAACAATTGTAAAAGACTGACATGGTGCAGCAAATCAACCACGGGAAACGCTCAACAAGCTGGTTTGCATGAAAAATAAATGTACAAAATAGGTGTTAAAATATCTAGCAAAAGTCTTTTTAGTATTTGGCAAGAAGTTTACCAGGCTTCTGATAAGTATAATAAACGTTCACAAAGGTTCCTTAAAAATATAGAAAGACGTTTTTAGACTTCTTGCTAGAAGTTTTCAAGCCGTATATTAACGTGGCGTTAGCACAGCTACAGGAGGTTTTCAAGCTGCTTAAGTTTAAATGACATCTCAACAAGACTTCTTATATACTTTTGGACTGTCCTTTTAGAACATTTACTAGAAGTTTTTTAGCTTTTCTTGTGTTTTGTGGGAAAGCTGGGAGATTAATAAAAAACACTGTTTCAAATGCACACTAAAAGGCCGGTAGTAGAAAGGGGAGAGGAAGGGAACCCGAACCCCTTCACCACGAAACTTTTTCGTAATTGAACTTTTGGTGTATACTAAAATATTTACACGCATTCACAGCGACCACTAGTCGCCAAAATTAGTCGTTCTGCTGCACCCCCCCCCCCCCCCACACACACACTAAAAAAAAATCTGGGTGCTAGTCTTGCGCCGAAGGTTTACAGTTGGTGAAGCTGAATAAAGCGTGTCTCTGTACGAATGTGCACTGTAAATATCATCTTTTAGACAGTATGACGTCCCAAAACTACTTCAAGTCTATCCGTGCGATTTCCGTGCGATTTCCGTGCGATTTTCCGTGCGATGTGGCGTCGCATGGTGTGGATTGCCACATGCGACGTTTCGGGACACACACGGGCGAAGAAGCTATTAGCGGCAGGCTCCGCCCCCATGCGGCGTCTCGACATGCACGGTCAGACTTCGTATCTTCGTAATGAAGCTCAAAACAAACAACAATGCACAGCCACGCTTCATTCCATAAAAATAATTAATAAATCGCCTTCATGGACGACAAGCACGTCGCAACAGCAGCAACAGCTGATTATTCACGACTCCAACAGATAGGCCTAGCATGGCGGGCGCCGGCCGTCGCGAGCTCATTGCGCTTGTTCATGCAAGTGCGAGCCCATTGCGAGCTCAGTGATGGCTTGTTCTTAATTAATTTATTATAAGAGTGCAACTAAGCTTTGCACTCATATGTAATGCGTTAGCATACGCTATTACTTTCTCGGTGCACAGTGGAGGTTCTGCGTCACCAAAACAGCCACCCTGTACCACATGGTATGGGAATACCCACACAATCCACCTCTACAACCCAGAGCGCAGCACAACACTGTAGGGTGGAAGGCAGCTCTGTCCAGCTCAGATCCAAAGACCCAAGAGGCCCTCGTGAGACGAGCGAGGACAGCGGCCCGTGCCAATGGGATCCCGGACGCGACACTACTTTCCAGCACCGTTCCATGGATGGATGGGTGGATGTGGCTGTACCCTTTAGATCGGGCGGCGGCTAACGCCACCTAGCCGTAATACTTAGTGAACTAACCATTAGTTTTATCTTTTTTTTTCTTCAAAAAGTGGAGTTGAGGACTGGTACTTTGCGGTGAAGGGTTTAATTTTCACCCGTGCCTTGACTTTAGCCACCAATTAGATAACCTTCTTCTAGTTAATTCTACCAACTTAAAGTCTATTTTTCCCTCTCTGTTCCTAAACCCCAGTGCTTTGAAAAACTCTGCGCCATCATCCTGAACTATAGGGTGAAGCCCTTTATAGAACATTATCAAGTGTTCGGCAGTTTCCTCCTCCTCTCCACATGCACTGTATACCATGTCTACCCCTTCGTATTTGGCCCGATATGTCTTGGTTCGCAATACTGCCGTCCTGGCCTCAAACAGTAGAGAACCACCCCGAGTATTATCATAGATCCTTTTCTTGGCAATTTCCTGCTTAAAAGTTCGATAGATCTCTAGTGCAGACTTCTTAATTATGCCAATTCTCCACAAGTCAGTCTTCGTTTCCTTCACTTTCTTTTTAACCGATAGTTCTTTTTGGTTTGGCCACCTGCTGTTTTCGAAGTATTTACCAGTCAAGTTCTTGGTTCACTTCCTTCATTTTGTATCGACATTCTTCATGTACAAGTAGCTGAAAACCTTCCTAGCCCAACGCTCCTCCCCCATTTCTCTCAATCGCTTCTCAAATTTTATCTTGCTGCTAGCTTCCCTGCCTTCAATTGATGTCTATCTCATATCACCTTGTACTCCCTGATTTGGTGTATTCCCGTGAGCTCCTAAAGCAAGCCTACCTATTCCACGTTGCTTAATTTCTAATCTTGCTTGAACTTCGGATCTCATGCACAAGACCGCATTGCCGAACGTCAGCCCAGGAACCCCTTTCACGGTGACACGGTGAGAAAAACTCCTCCGTTTATTTTCTATTTCAATTAAAAAAGAATACATTTGGATTGCGACGAAGGAGGGGCTCAAAACATAGAAATTAAATGTGTACATTTCGCCTTAAGGGTGATTGTTGTAGCATGCAACAGGCAACGAGGGAGAGAAGAATGTACAATCTTGATTTGCATTGTTTATTCCACTAGGCTTCTGGGATGTTAGGCAAGTCAACAGTCGCACGGCAACTTTCGTATATCGTGCAACTGTACAAGTATGTTGATAAGCAAACGTGAAGAATACAGAAAATACTGTTTAGTGAAAAAAAAACGTAGATTCCTGCAGTTGGTCTGTGCCAGGTGTCGAAACAGTGTGAGGTCATTCCGGTACAGCCAAGTCACAACCTTGTCGTATCGTGCGCAAAGCAGATACCCAGACCCAGTGCCCCAAGCTCGACAAGTGCAAGCCTCTGCCTCAACCTCAATCTATGTGTATTATTGTTGCTGAAGCTTGGGTTCGACTAGCATTAACAAATCAGACCCACAAATGGCATTTGCTTATTAACAAAAACAGATCACTTCAAGAAAAGAATGTTACTGCAGCACAGGTGTCAATGAGTTACCACACTAAAATGAGTGTGCCACTAGCTTCACAGTTACTGCAATCAGAAACAGTCGATATGAGTGAAATAAGAATGTAGAAGAGGCTGAAAAGCACGAGCTACCATCACAGACGAGCAAGGCATTCACCAAGTATTAGAAAGGGTCTGTGGATGTCCCCCGTTCAACCAAAGAAAACAGTAGCATGAGTCAAAGACAATAATTAGGAGAACTTATGACAGGTCATATGAAGTTCAGTTGGAAGACAGCATCCTGAGAAGGAATCGAGTACTCAACAGGACAAGCCCTTCCTCAGACAAACACATTGAAGTCAGTGAGCCAGAGACCAAAGCAGACTGGAATTTCTGCCGGACCTCGAAGAACCATACAGCCTCCATAGAGGCTCCAGGATTTCACAGTTGGTTGAAGGATTGACTTCAGGAAGGGATGCATGTTACAAAAAAGATCCACAAATGCAGGGGCGTACCGACTCTTTCGCGAGTGGGGGTGGGGGCAAACCTAAACACACACACACACACACACACACACACACACACACACACACACACACACACACACACACGCACACACACACACACGCACACGCACACACGCGCACACACACACCACACACACACACACACACACACACACACACACCGTATAGGGACCACTTATAAACGACCACAAAAAAGTAAGAGTTTGCCATTGGTTCTTTGTCATTTAAAATTGTCTGTGTGCCATAAAATCGCCTGCCTCTTACATCAGGAATGTGAAATTTTGTGGTGGTCATTACAGCGCATGCACATTAAACAGGGCACTCACGCACTGAACAATACCTAATTTTTTTTTATTTGAATATACTGCAGGCCCTTCACGGCCCAAGCAGGAGTGGGTACACAGATACATCGAAATACATACATTGCCAGAGAAAAAAAAAAAAAAAAAGAATCATGGTGCAAATTCAATACACTGTATGCGGTTGATGAAAGAGTCAATCGTACTACAACAAACAATGTCGTTGGGTAGGCTGTTCCAGAGGGAGATAGCTGACGGAAAAAGTGAATGTTTGTGAGCGTTTACACGACTTAAAGGTTGGCGTATTGTTTTAGAATGATTTAGTCGGGATGATTGTTTAGGCGGATCTTGCAGATAATGAGAGCGTGATATGTGGAAATGACCATGATATAATTGGTAAAGGAATTTTAATCGTGACATTATTCTGCGTTGAAAAAGTTGTTTTAAGTTTGCCCTTGCGAGTAAATCTGCGGTGCTGGACTGCCTCGCGAATTCTGAATATACGAACCTTACTGCCAATTTTTGTATTCGTTCAATTTTACTAATCAGGTACTTTTGATGTGGACTCCAGATGAGATCGGCGTACTCTAAACATGGTCTAATTAGTGTTTTGTAGGCATTTATTTAAATATGTGGTGGTGCATTGCGCAGTTTTCTTCTCAAGAAAGATAACTTCCTTTCCGCTTTCTGACACATGGCCAAGATGTGTGGTTCCCAGTTAAGGTTCGGCGTGAGTGTAATACCTTTTGGGGTAGTCAGAGAGCATATTCATTCAAATAATATTCAAATAAAGTAGCTGCCGGTCACATTATCAACGGTTACTTATTGCAGCTTCCAAAATGAAATAACATGAGCGTAATAAAATATTTCAACTTGCAGCATAAAGGCGTTTAGTAGTTTGTGCGAGCACACATCTCTGTGAGCTCGTCCTTGCTGAGAGAAAGGAAGAGAGAGAAATCAACAATGCTGCACGTGTGTGCTTCTTTGCTGCCCAAGTTGTATTTTGAGCTGCAAAAGACCATTCGAGTTGAATGAAAACCTACTAGCCTGACACTCAATTAAGCCTCCATAGCTAAAAACCATGCTCTTTCACCTTCTCCTTGGTCTGGTGGCTCAAGGAAGAGGACAAGCTTCAAAGCTGAGATTCCCATTGTGCTGGAGTCCGCTGCTTTGTTCGTCGCCACTTTGCAAGCTGCCACCATTGCTCCAAGTTACCATAAGCAAGACTGGTCAGGTTTATCGGAGACTGAAGCGGAGACCCCTTTTTGGCGCTTCCAGATAACACTAGAAAATTAAAAAAAAATGTGTAACATAAATCAGCTCACAGCAGCTTCGTCAAAGCAGCATTGATATCTATTTTCGATCAAAGAAAATAATTTTCCTGAAGCAGCAGATCATTTGACCAGTCCAAAAAAAATTTGCTCGTTCGCATCCGTGACTGCATCAGCCAGTCGCAGCAGAACGAAAACGTGGACAAGTTACACAATGTTATTGGGCCCCTGTTCAGCGCTGGCCTGCTCTGCAATGCTGCACCACAAGGCACCAAAGCGCCGCTTAGGCGGCTCGCACCGCAAGAGCCTACAAGGAAAATCGCCACAACTACAATATTGGAGAAATTTCACTATATTGTAATATTCCCTCGTATTAACATAATTCAGTGAATACTGTGGTGAAGGCAAACTTCGCCTCCATTGTTGCTTTCCCCGGCATTCAGCCAACAGTAAGCACTGTCGAAAGGGGGGAGGGGGGGCTCGCGCCCCCCTTGTTCTCCACGACTGGTACGCCTATGTACAGATGACACAAAACATCGTTTGCAGCATCCTACGCAAGCCACATGCTTCTTTGGTATTCTCCACTTCCTCCTTCTCTGAGAAGGCACTGTCTTCAGGGTAGTTGGTATCGATCCATAACATTTGTAAGCACTAAATTCACGTATGTAAGACGAGCCAACCGCTTGTCCTGTGTCCTTCACTCGTGTCACGTACGTGCATTTAGCGCTTACAAAAGTTACAGATCCCTCTTCTTTGTTCATTTACCCCTCCTCCTCCTTTTCGAGCTCATGAAGTATCAAGTGTGTGCCCCTCCGACTTTGCACTTAGGCCGCTCCCCTACCTGAATCTCCATTATGCATTCCTGCCTCTATGTAGCCCTACCTATTCTTTTACTTCAACGTTTATACAACTCGGTGAACTTTCATTGAAGAGACCCTGTAACGTTTTTTTGAAGTTTTGTCAGCGTTTAGGTTAGAGCATCTTGACACCATTCGCACCATAAATTGAGTGACACGCAGTGTACCAAGGCCGCTACAGATAATTATATCATGCCATCCTTCTCACTTATGCCTGACTGCCGCAACTCACGAGGCACGCTGGCGATCGCAGAGCTCTCATGAGGGTGCTCGCCTTTTTGAGCTTTTACCAGTCTAGACCTCCGAGATGGCACACCGACAGGTTGCGTGCAGTCTCGGAGGCCATCACGCAGTGCGCCTGGTGGCACGCACGCCGTCTGGCAACATAAAGAAAGACCACGAAGTAAGTGGTTGATATCTGCTCTGATAGGTGTTGCCACCCTACCAGTTGATCTTACTTCTGCACATTCTACAGCCCATGACAGCCAGTCAGATAAGCAGCCATGTTGACGTGGCTGCTGACGTGCTCTGGGAGAAGCATGTTGCTCTTTGAATGGGCAGTTTAAAATGCATTTGACCGAGTTGCAACGATCTGCACCGATTTCCAGGGATTGGGAGCTTTCAAGCGTACTAATAAATTACACAGTTTACGCAGAGCGTTCAAATCGGTCTCTAAATAACCCTTGAGACTTAATCTACCAGCCCAATGTGTTTGTAGAAAATCACCAAAACCGTTCCAGGTTCCTTTTAACAAAAGTACAGTGTTTTATCAGCCACTAATATAAGTCATAGCAAGACAAACCATTACAAAGTGGCCAGCTATAATTCATCGTGATCAACTACCACAGAATTTAAAACATTCACAGCTACGCAGGAGCATAATTTGCTTAACAGACACATAGTAGGTACTTTGCGGTCACAATCGCAATTGGCACCTTGGGAAAGTTTACAACGGCCAATATTCTACAATGTGCACAAATTTTCCATCCTTCACAGCATGGTTCACGTGTTCATAAAGAAATGAAGAATGGCAAGCAAATGTGAATACAGTATATATGTAAATGTGAATACAGTACGTACAGTAAATGTGAATATAGTGTGCATACAAATGGGTGCTGCTAACGCTATCACACTACACTCTAGTATTCTCAATGTTCTTGATAGCAAGGCTATAAATGGCTTGCACTGCTGGCCCTAAAACAGCCATGTTGCAGTACCGACACAGTGGGATGCGAACTCTGCTATTACGTCAGTGCTATCAGTTCATTACGTGCTGGTTCCTTTGTTATTCATGCACACAGAGACACAACAACATTCCAGCGACGTCGTCTCGCCAAAACAGGTTAGTCACTACGTGACTAGACTGCCTCGAAGTTACCTATACCGCGATGTTGGAATCATGTCTCACATCTTTTAATCATGTCTTACATTGATGATGCATGCTACCAATATACAATAAAACGTTGATACGTTTCTGAAAAAAATGCGCACAATAAGTGCAGGATCTGAAAATACTTATGATCTAAATTGGTTTAATTTATTTTCACGACTGCGAGCGTATCAGCCGGGAAATCATTGCCCTGTCTCAGTGGACTAGTGGCTAAGGTACTCGGCAGCTGACCAGCAGGTCGGCGGATCGAATCTGGGCTGTGGCAGCTGCATTTTCGGTGAAGGTGAAAATGCTGCAGGCCCGTGTGCTCAGATTTGCGTGCACGTTGAAGAACCACAGATGGTCCAAATTTACAGATCCCTCTACTACGGCGTATTTCATAACTATATCGTGGTTTTGGAAATGTTAAACCACCGATATCATTCAGCTGGGAAATCGTACTAAGCGGGAATGTATCAGTGAGGTTCTACTGTATAGGTCCACACAACTCCACGAGCTTACATATTGAACGAAAAATTGTGGTGGTGGTGGTTGTGGTGGTGGTGGTGTTGCAGCAGGCGGGGTTGGCCTGGCCTGCAAGGCCGGCAATTGTTCCGCCTGAGCATCTCCTGAATTTGGAAAATGTCACCACGTGTCAGACAGCCCAGTGTCTCGCAGGAAGGCTAACAAAATTCGTTGCACGTTCATCCTAGTTGCCGCGGGTTCTTCAGGAAAGATGACGTCATCAACTGTCCGGTGCCTATGACAGCCTTTCCGCAAAGGGCGGATCATCGCTGCCCTTTGCACATTAAACTGTGGGCAAAGCCAAATGAAATGTTCAATATCCCTGATGTCACCACAGAAGGCACAGAACGGGGAAGCGTATCTCCCAGTCTTGAATGACCAGGCTGGGGTATATGCGCAGCCGGTTATTATGCGGTACAACAGCGTCGCTTCTTCACGAGAAAGTCCATGAATTAGACATGCTTGGTGTGGAAACTTGTGGAAAATTATGGTCGTCAACTGTCTCCAGATTCAAATTTTGAATTAAGGGACTGTATGCGTCCAGATTGAGTTTAAGTCGCAGCTGACGCGCTAGGTAAATTGACTGACGTCAGTGCAACCATGAAAGTAATAAGTATGGCTGTACTGCGACTCTGCAAACACATTTCTAATCTACAGAAAGCTCTTAGTGGGTATGCAGCACAGAAATAGGGCAAACATTACCACTAACTACTGGTGGATAAAAAATTTGACAGAAAAAAGGTGAATGAAAAAATTAAAGAGCAAAGGAATAAATGCTTACATAAATACATAACCCACATGTTGCACCTCTAGGCCACATAAACTGAGGTGGAACTCCTTTAAAGAAGCATATGCTAAAATTTTAAAAATTCTAATAGATGTATAAATATAAAAAGTAAGCAAACAAAATCCTTGTGCGACACAGCTTGGCTGGTCACCCACCTTCACAGAGTGGAATAGCTTCAGCCTTTTCCAGAAATCTCTCAAGACCTCCCCGGCAAAAACATGCACATATAGCTGGATGTAATCATTATAGCCTGCTTGGAAAATTATGCTGATTTCATTTACCCAAAAAGCCTCAACAACTGCCACCGACAGGTAATCAGTGTACAGGATTGCCAAGAAGTTCCTTCAGCTACTTTGTACTAATTGAGAAATATCTAATACCGACAAGAATGACGAATTATCATCGTATTCATGTAATTCATTGATAAAATATTTTAGCTGATTGAGAGACGGCATCCTTCTTTGGAGACAAGGCGTACGTTTTTCAGTTTCTGTGCACTATTTAGAAGGAACAGACATCCAAGACTGAGCTAACGATAATAGGCATTTTTGTTGTTTGAAGTTTTCTTGACTTGACATATGCTTGAAATATTTGCTACACACTTGATGATGACAGATGCATGTTTAAAAAGACAGAAATGGGCATTTGCGGCAGAATATTGAAAATATTGTTCAACTATTCTTCAAATGCTTGATGCAAGCAGATAACCATCGCATATTATATCAGTTGTCATGGTGTTCAAGTAATGTAGCATAACTGCCTGCAATATTGACAAAATTATTGATACTGTATTGGCAGCTGCTGTTGAACATCTGACAATTTATTGCGATACTTACACTTGCTTTAAACTTGGTCTACAATAACTTGTTTCACGCATTCATAGACAATTGATCATAAAGCATACCTTAAATAAGGGGGGGGGGGGGGGCTACATGCACAAAAAAGTGTTGTATGCAAGCTCCTCTTCAGGGCACATGCACGCAACTACATGAATCGGAAACTGAGCTGTACACTCGTAAATATTTCACTGTTTATATTTCATGAACACACTTCACAACACCGGACAGAATCGCTCAAATGTGACACAGCCCACAGAACCTCACCACAGCGCTACACACAACAGCACTCGTACGGCGTTGCGCATTGCGAATGACGGGCAATAAAACTTGCCCTTCCTTATCGTAGCAGAAGCTAGCACACGCAAGCATTCAAAATTAGTGCATGCTATTTGCTGCGACGAACGGCACACACAGAACACACCCGACGCTAACACTTGTTGCTATGATTACAAACTTTTCACTTCGGCTCGCACTAAACGCATATCCTGCTTTAGAAAGGTGGATGATTACATCACAGAAATCTTCGAAGTCCTTTGCAATTACACTTGAAAGATGGACGCTACAACCCAGGAAACACACGAAACGACGACACTCGCATCCGCAAACACACTTTCTACACTGTGCTCGTTTCTTCGT